TGTTTTTTTTTTCTTTTATTGAAAACAGCCGCCCTTGGATTTAAGGTGCGGCCGTCACTCCACATCTATTGTAACTTCTGGGATTCCACCCAGTTAAAGGCCGGCTATCGGAGTCTCTGGATCCCGCGTAACCATTTTATAGACTGCTTGCATGGGTTGTTTCAAGTGTGTCCCCCTTGGGAGGGGCCTCAGCTGTGTCCCCTGGTGGCTCCAAAGAGCCACATGATTGATTTAGAATACGGTCAGAGACCTACTAGACGAGATGATCAGGCACTAGGGTTCCCACCTGTCCCGGATTCACCTGGACAGTCCAGGTTTTGAGTCTTGTATGTGCTGTGTCTGGGTTTCAGCTAGCCTGGAAACGGCACATACGGGACTCAACGCTACCCAGATTCCAGGTGAATCCGGGTAGCGTTACCACCTTTTCGGAAAGCCGAATGAGTGGTGCTTATTCATATGCAAATATCACAGTTGAGACTATTTTCAGTGAGGGGCCAGTAGCCCCTATCTTCATTTTGGTTGCCCCTGTCTGCCTGACATCTTGTGTCCGGGTTTCTGCTGCCATGAAACACGGACACAGCATTCAAAACCTGGACTGTCCGGGTGAATCCTGGAGCTGGCAACCCTATCAGACACTCCTCTTCCTAAATGAGTGCTTCACTACTGACTACTAAGGTTTGCAAGGGGCCACGTGTGGAGCTACATGGTTTTTGGACCAAGGCCATATATAGGGCCGTGACTTCTAAGGCCTATGACACACTAGCCCTCCTGTTGCTTGCTGCAACTCGCCAGCAACAGGATTGTTAAAGAGGGCAGTAAAGGAACTCCCCTGTTTGTACAATGTGGTTCCATTGCTGGATGAAATGTTTCAGCATCTCCTGTGCCAACAAGGTAGTGACACCGTGACACCGTAACACAGGGGTGGGCAACTCCAACTATCTGGCTGTTGTGGAACTACAAGTCCCATGAGGCATTTCAAGACTGACCGTTACAAGCATGACTCGCAGAGGCATGCTGGGATTTGTAGTGAAAGCACAGCTGGAGGGCTGGAGTTGCCCCCCCCTGCCGTAACCTCATGTCTATAATGATCCTGTGATTGGAGAGTTACTACCTGTGACATGTTCACCAGTGCATCATAGGTGTAAGCCCTGCCCTCGGCCGGTCAAATGCAAAGCCAGTATCTGACACTGGGGGGTCTAGCATTTGACAGTTGAGTGGCAAGGGATGGGGGGGGGGGGAGCGGGTGGGGGGGGGGGTGACTAGTGCTGATCTGTATAGCTGAGTTGAAACTGCAAGTCCCTTGATTTTTCCTGCAGAATCAGCTGATTCCCCCTGAGCACTGGTCCTGATATCCTGTTTTACGGTGTCTCCTTTCCCTGGCAGGGATCTATGGAGCCTCCATTGTATCTGCTAGTAATCTGTGTGTGGCTCTTTTCCCTTGAAGGGTCCTATGGAGCCACCCTTGTGTGTGCTAGTAAGCTGTGTGTATCTCCACAAATGCACAAACACAGCAAAGCAATCTACTCACCTGCCCCCCCCCCCCAAATCCCCCTTTCTCCATGCTTCTGGAGACTGTTCTGTTCAGAAGAGCCAAGAGCGTTGGAGCTGCTTAGAAACATGACTGCAACTCCTTGGGCAAAAATTTAAAGAAATACTTTGCTGGATAATGTATATTTGCTTTTTTTTGAGTTTCATACTACATTATTATATTTTCAGGTCAAATGTATGCTGCTGTAATACTACATTATGACCACTAGATGGAGCTGAGGAGCATAGGAAATCCTTTTTTCTATGCTCTTCAGCTTCATCTAGTGGCCATAATGCAGTATTACATCACAATATTAAGAACGTTCACAGAGATTTGCAGTGTGTAAATCGTTTATATATAGATCCCAAAGCACATGTGTAAGGACTCAGTACCTGGAGAAGCTTGTCCAAGGCCTAAGACACCTAAGCAGGGTTGCAGTACTGGACATCACGATGTGTGTCCCATGAAGGTTAAAGATGCAGAAAGTTTCATTTCAGCTGATTTACTATTTAGAGATCAGAACGGCGATCATCCCGGAACCATCACGGCTTCATTTTAGGGCCGGTGCAGACCAGAACGATTCGGGCCGTACACCGTGGGATCGCACGTCCTAGCACAATTGGAGACCGCGATTGCCGCGCTGCCCCCACACTGATTTCAATGGGGTATATCTGCCCTGCAATCGCAGGAAAAAGGTACATGTAACTTTTTTGCGATACACGACACATGGCTGTTTTAGCCGCTGTGTTCGCATGCATGGGTGGGAATGTTGCGGGAAATCTTGCAATCCACCAGGTGCAACTGGGGTGCCATTACAAAAATGGCACCCACAGCGCCATTCTCTATGATGGGCGACTCTGTATCGTGCACAATTGCCGTGCAGTCACGGATCGGCCAGGTGTGCACCGGCCCTTACACTCTGATTTTATTACTTTTTTTTTTGTTAAACAATCTTTCTTTTGACTACAAAACCAGTTTTTCCGGTTGTGAACAATCCAGATTCTTCATAAAGACCTTTCAGGTATTTACCACTACCATAGCACGATGACTCAGGGCTTCCTGGAGACAAACAATACACCATGTTTATGTTTCATTCATCTTTTATCAATCTCCTGCGTCTAATGTCAGCTGGACGTGGATGGCATTTTTCATCAATATGGCAAAAAAAATGGTAAATTGAAAAAAAAAAAAGATTGCCGGGTGGGCGTTGTAGTACATTGCAGGTCTCTGAGAAAATAATGTATAGTTTAGTATTCCGCTGCAGTTTGGTAGAAAGAAATGGTCTGGGAATGGTGTCTGTTAGGGATACACTGATACTGTTTTTTTTCGGTATCGAGTAATGATTTTTTTTATTTGGTACTTGCCGATACCGGAAGTCCCTTTTTTAAAGGAGAACTATGACGTGAGTGATTTCCACTCACCTCATAGTTCTACGTGTAATGACTTGACACCCGGCTTCGTGATTAGCTGGGAACCCAGCTCCATGCCCTCGTCACCAGGTGATGAGGAAGCATGGAGCCGGCTTTCTGGACAATGACGCGCCCCCGGCTTCAATACAAATTAGTAAACTAAACATGAGATTGTAGTCCATCACGGGAGCGAGCTTGGAGCGGTGACTATTTTACAACATACACAGGGTCCATGGGGAACACAAGTAGCCACCCTCCAGAAGGAAGGACAGTGTCGGCACCAATTCAGAGATGATTGGAGGATCTACAGCCGAGTGATACACAAATAAGATACTTTTTTGTTCATAGTTATGGTAATGTATTTTATCTGCTGAGTTTAGTGTCCCTTTTAATATGTGCTCCTCCCCCTTTGTCTGACCGTTGCTGCACTGCTAACTGCCGGCTCCTTCCTCCATTCTATCCATAGCCAACAGAATGAACAAGTTTTGGCTGCAGTTCAACTCTGGTAAATTTTATTCTGTAGTTTGCTGCCATAGCTTTACATTTACGTACGCAGCTTCAGCCTCCTGCTTTTATACTGTAACATGGAGGCCTCTGTACAAGATTTAATGTTGCCTTAGCAAGCAATCAGCTCCTAGCTGTCCTTTTGCAGTGCAGAGGTAACAGAGGTTAGGATTGTTGCTATGGGCAACCAGAACCTTTCCTGTTGGCAAGCTATCCATACATAAGCTCCATAGTGACTGGACCTCGAACCTTGACTGTGTTGGTGACCGCTGCCATATATCTTACTGTAGACATTTCCTTCCGAATCAAAATTCAGACGACTTTTCAGAAATTCGGACATTCAAACACATCCGAATGTGTCCGAATCCAAATTTCCGTTTACGAATTTCGGATCCCGTCCGAATTTTGTTACCACTGCCTGCTGTCAATAAGCAGAGGAGGGGCCTCTATCAGGTCCTCCCATGCTGATTGACAGCAGGCAGTGGGCGGGTGCAATAGCCAGCTTGTTATTGGCTATTGCATTCTACAATATCCAATAGCAGTCTGGGTATGGCTCCCAGCCTGCAATGAAGAGGAGGCAGGGGGGCGGGGCAGAGGAGCCGTGCCAGGAGAGCAGAGGATCGTCCGGACAGGGGAGGCCGACAGATCAGCGGAACAGGACGCCGGGACATCAGCGGAGGTACACGAGGCAGCAGAGGAATGCAGCGGTCTGTGTCCCCGCTGCCTCCGCCAACACAGGCCTGGAGAGCAGCTGGGAATTGAAGGGACACAGGCCGCTGCAGCCACAGTTCTCCTAAATGTACCGGCAGCTGCCGGTACATTTAGGAGAACTGTGGCCCCCGGTTAGTAAGTACGGATTGTCTGTAAATCGGATGTCCATAACTCGGGAAATGCCTGTATATGTATTTGGCTCCGAGACCCGAATGGAATTCTTTGAGAGCTCTAAAATGCAATTTGGAAATTCAGATACCGAATACTATTCAGGTCTAGGAACCTCAGCTTTTATTATAATATCTGTATATGGTTTTCTGTGGTATTTGCTACAAATATTCGTAAACTCATCCGAAACGGATTTCGTCCGAATCTGAAACCCGAACCGAATTTAGGATCCGAATCCCGAAATATCCGAACCAAATTTTTCTGCAGCTTACATGTCTACCTTACTGTTTGTCTGATGGACAGAAGTGGTGAGCAGGCGGTCAGTCACTTCCTCCTCTCCAGATGGAAGGATCTGCTGTGTAGACGTTGTTTCTGCAAGTTAGGAAAACCTTCTGAGTGTTCTAATGAGGGATCCCGAGACAAAATTTTGCCCATGGGTAAGCCTATAGAGCCCAATCCAAGTCTGAACTTCAAACCAGGGGTGGGCTGTGTATGGGGTCTGAGGGAAGATTGGGGTGGGAAATTTGTCAGCGATGGAATTGGCATCCAAATCCCTGCAGGAGAGGCATATGGAGGCAGCATGCCATAGAAACTGACCGTTCTCTGTTCCTCTTCTATAGGTCACTGAAGAAAGAGGAGGTGAAAGATGGACGGCCATAATTAGTAAGTCAATGTAAAGTATGATCATCCTCATTCTTGTGTTCCCGCTTCTTTGCTCTCGTCCTTTTCTGTCTCTCTGTCTCTCTGTCTCTCTGTCTCTCTCTCTCTCTCTCTCTCTCTCTTAGCAGAAATACTGGAAGACCAAACAGACCCTCATCAAGGTGACTGGCAAGAAGGAAGATGAACATGTGGTGGCCTCAGACTCTGATCTAGATGCCAAACTGGAGGTTTGTGTTCAACATACATCCGACTCACTAACAAACTAACTGTCCCTGGGATATTCACTTCCCGTCTCGGTAACGATTGTTTCTGAGATAGGAAATTGGGGTAAATTCTACCCAATGGAGACAGACTCAAACCGATGTTAAAAACTGGAATGGCTTTAGACCTGTGCTTTGGCACTGCAGAATGAAGGAACAGGTTTCACTCAATTCCCACTTCCTACAGCTTCCTATACTTGCTCCTCCACTCTGATCGCCCCCCGGAGTGAAGAGAAAAAGCCCCATGTACGATCCCAAGTTGCAACCAGGACCTTACACAGGGATGTGGACTTTTTCCCTGTCTTCATGTGCCTGAGCAGCCAATTGCCAAGCACCAGGGCTGTTACATGGGAGGTAGGTGAGCGAATAGCATGCGCTCCCATCCCCAGAAGAAGCAGGTATGACCCGTCACCTCCCCAGGTGAACGTAACAGCAGAGTGTTAAGAGAAGTATGTGCTACAAGGAGGGGCATCAAAGTGAACTTGTTACTTTGCACTGCATGGGCAAAGCATAGGCTCACTATAAAGCGTCCCCATCAGGAAAACTCCCATTACCTGTAATAGAGTGTATACACACCTTTCCCGGTGCCCTCCCTGCCGAATAATGGCCAGTTCAGTAGACATGATCCTTCAAAGCCAGACTTACACTTTAAGACATAGTGTAGAAGCTGGACATAATGATACCACGGCTCAGCATTAGCAGGTCGCTCCTCCATTTCATCTTTGTAGCAGGACATTTCCCCCATTCCATTTAAATAGGCAGAGCTTTCCAGTAGCAGGGCGCTTCCCCCCCCATTCCATCTTCGGAAGAAGAGCTTTCCCATAGTATGACCCCCCCCACACCTTTCAATCTTGGGAAGCAGAGCTTTCCAGTAGCAGGGTGCTACCCCTATTCCATCTTTGTAGCAGGGCACCCTTCTAAAAGACTGGCTGCTCTAGAGCAGTTCAAAGTTATTACATCTGAAAAGTACTTTATTGTGGTCCACAATCTGGTTTTGTTGTGTTTTCAGCTTTTTCATTCAATCCAGAGGACGTGTATGGAGCTCGTAAAAGTCATAGAGCAGTATCAGAAGCGGATATGCTGTAAGTTGTGGGCTTTTATGGTTTGGGGTTTTTAATGCAACCCAGTGCTGATATTGTGTATTTCCTTAAAGCTAAACTCCAGGAAAAGCAAATATATTGTCTAAAGAAGTCTCGTGTATTCTTGTTTATTCTTTCCTTGAATTTTGATTTGTGCATTTCTTCTAGATCTGTGCAGTAATCCAGTGTAAGACTTGGAGCTTCCTGTAATAAAGACCGCTCACTGCTGTGCTCTCTCCATGTGCAGGGTGACTGGTCTAGTCTCCACCCCTGTGGGTGGGGACTGCTGGCTACCTCCCACAGCTCTGCTCTCTACACAGGCTAGAACAGCACAGTGATGACATCTCTGCTACTTTTAAATTGAATAATATCTGGGTTTACAAGTCATTTAGTACACACAAAGTAGATGTATATCCTTTGTGACTATTGAGGAATACATTTCAGTTAGTTTTGTGCCTGGAGTTCAGCTTTAAAGAACCCTGTCCGGCTTTTATTGCTGTCTGTGTTCCCATTGCGGAGATTCACCCTCTCTATATGTCTGTGATTTTACATTTCTATTCATGTCTTTCTCCCATTATTTTTTTGTTTGTTTTTCTCCTCCAGACCTCAAATATTATTTTAATTATTATTTTTATTACGCTTTGAAATTATTTTCTATAGAGAAACATTAATTTTGTGCTCTACACACAAATAATTGTCGACTTTTCTGTAGAAGATTAAATATACACACACACACACACACACACATAATATATATATATTTTTTTTTTAATGTGTGTGCATAGATACATTTTATTATAAATATTTTCTTTCAATCTTCATTTTATTCAATTTCAAATTTACAAACCGTAATATAACATATCATTATGGCAAGTAGATATTCCTACATACTGCCATCATTTAACACTATTTTTAAAAATCCAATATAGAAACAAGGAAGCTGACAAGAATGATTTTTAAAGTGTATCAAAATATACACATTAAGGGAAAAAAGAGAAAAAAATGACGGGGACAAATAATTTACTTAAACTTCTATCTACAGACCTAATTACGCATGATATGCACGGAATCACGCTTGTGGTGAAGTCCATCACATCGCCATGACCTAATGCACTGCGTAGTTTGTACTACATTATATGGTTCTTGTAAAAGCAAAGATGGATATCAGGTCCCTGAGATCCAGGGAACCCCTAAATCTCAGCCAATGAGCCTATATTTTTCAAAATCTATCCTATTCCGCAGCCAATAAATGTTCAAGGTTTCCATGACCCATTCTGCCAATGTAGGGACTACAGAGGAACGCCAATAATGAAGTATAACTGCACATGCTGCAGTGAGAAAGTGTCTGAGGATGTCTCTCTTAACATGCTTAATAGGACCAGCAATCAGAGAGAGAGAGAGGAGTCCTTTTTAGGGTCTGCTCGAATTATAGCACCTGTCACTCTGGTGTAGACTACAAATACCCCCGGCCCCTACCAAAATTTCTGAATGAGGGGGCGACTCCGCCAAATATGTGTCATATATTTCCACATGCATCATGGCACCACCAACATTCTTTCGATTTTTAATCATAGGATTTAATCCTATGAAGCACATCTGGACATTGATACTGTACAACAGCAAAAAGTTTCCCAGCACACTCACCAGCCAGCATGCAAAAAAACTTCTCTCACCACTAAAAACAGTGGTTTAGATACACTTTGCAAAACAATACCGGCGCCTTCAAATCCAAAAAGAGCCCAGCAGTAAAAATGCAGCAAACACGATGGAGGCAGCTCCCACAGATTAGATGGACCACCAGTCTATGAGAAAAGGAACAAAAGAGAGCGCCTCCATAGTGTAAAAATGTTATTTAATAGTAAAAACACGCAGCTCTAAGGCTGTACTTACAACAGTTCGGTAGAATAAAAACAAGTAAAATAAAAGGTGAGAGGACCGAACCCCTGGCAGGGAGAATCTGGAGCGATGTAAAACATCAGTAACCTCGATCCCTGTATTTATAAATGGTTTACGTGTTTCTGGGGCACGCCCCCTTCATCAGGACCATCAGTTCCTGAAACTTACTTGCTATGGACAGTTTAGGAGTAAGAATAATTGATGTGTCCCATCCTCCTGGATCAATAGCCACGTTTTTAATTCTTGTTCCCATTTTGAAGTATAATATACATATTTTATTTTCTCTATTTACCAATGTTTTATAAATGTTTTATTCTTTTGAGTTCAGGGACGGAGTCTGCTTTTGTGAGTACACACCCAGAGCTTGATTTGTGAAGACGATGGAAGAGCTGACATTGTCCTCTGTCTCTCTGCAGTTTTGTCCCAGGAAGAAAACGAATTGGGGAAATTCCTCCGTTCGCAGGGCTCTCAGGATAAATCCCGAGCCGGGAAAATCATGCAGGCCACAGGGAAGGCGCTCTGCTTCTCCTCCCAGCAGAGGTGAGTAATGATTTTTTTTTTTTTTGTGCATTGCAATGAAGATTAAAGGGAACCTCCACTTTAATGCAATATGGCACACAGTTGGTGTGTACAGAAGCAGAAATGTCACTTCCTGCTTCTGTGATTGGCTGACTGATTTTCTCAGATGTCTGCACTAAAGTACAAGCAGAATTTTAGGTATCCCTTGCAATAGGAATTTCATTTTTGGTGACAATGGAGAGGTACTCCATAAGGGTTTAAAGGGAAAGGGATGCCGACACTGCAACTTTCCTCATCCACCAGCTGATTATAATCCTGAGCCTCCCATTCAGGGATCAGTTTGGGGAGGACACGGGTGAAAAAAACAGCTTTTATTTAAGAACAGAAAAAATTCGAAATCTGCAACCAAGTTGGTTAACATCTCTGCAATGTACACAGATCACCCAGAGGGGAAGGATTGTTTTCTTAACAAAACTGGAGTTCTTCTTTAAGAATCGGGAGAGTCCTGGGTACTTGGACTGTCCTTCCAAAATGTGGCCTCTGCATACGTATATCCATACCTCTGCTTAACTATGAATGACTGACCTAAACAAGCTACCTTCAGGTAGACCACACTGATCTCTCTCCTGCTCCCTACAGGTTGGCCTTACGTGCCCCATTATCCCGACTTCACCAGGAGGTGGAAACATTTCGTTATAGAGCAATATCTGACTCCTGGCTGACTGTCAACCGCATGGAACAAGCCAGGACTGAGTACAGAGGCGTACTACTCTGGATGAAAGACGTGTCTCAAGAACTCGACCCCGATCTCTACAAGCAGATGGAGAAATTCCGAAAGGTACTTAACAAGATTGATTTATTTCTAAAGTTAAAGTAGAACTCTGGGCATATGTAAATGGCACAAACTATTGCATCTCTGATCATTTATACATCAATAAATGTATTTATTCTTAAATGCAAGCAATGTTAGTACCTAAATGTGACCCTGTACAGCTAGACTTAAGTTGGAGAGAAAAAAGCAGCACAAACAGCCAATCCATTCATGTGCTGGCAAAAAGCAGGATGATAGGAGGAGAGAGCAGGGTGACTGAGGGCTGAGCTCGTCACTGTGCTGCTTTTCCTTTCACTGTCCAGTCACAGGCATGGCTGGATTCATTACAGCCAAGGCTCAGAGAAAGTAGTTTGAATGATGCCGACTGCCAGACTGAGGACATCTAGTGGCCAAAAAGTAGTACTGCACTTGTGAGCTCTGGATTTAAGGTGAATATTTTAGCAAAAGCTGTTTTTTTTTGGGGGGGGGGGGGTTGGGACATTGGCAGCCATTGTTTCTAAAAATTGCTACTGGCAACTTACTACACCTTTTTGGTACTCAGACCAGCTGACATTGGGTCACATTCAGGTACTTGCATGACTTGTATTAGAATATAAGACAATAAAGATATGTTGATGATTACAGAGCTGGGTCTTGTATATCTGCATAGGATTTACCTTTTTTAAACTTTACTGTTGTGCAGCTTCCCCGGAGTTTGTGTACAGGGATAATTCTGTTTTGCTGCTGGCAGGTTTATGAAGAATTTTTAGAGGTTTGGAAATAGAGTTGGGTTTGGATTGCATGGAGCCGTGTTGTGTTGCTTTTACATTCTGCAGAAGTTGTCACCTGATACTTAGGTCTGTCTTTAAAGCTGAATTCTGGCCTTTCCTTCATTGTACCAGCTCCTGATAGATAGATAGATAGATACCGTGTTTCCCCGAAAATAAGACACACTAGGTCTTATTTTTTTTTTTTTTTTTACGTACAACAATCCACACTTATTCATGTAGAAACATATGGTGATCAGGGAAATCGGGGGTGCCGTACCTTTCCAAGAGTAATATGATAACAAATGGCTGGCCAGAATGAGCAAAACGCGCTTTCACTATCGATTCCTCACAGGTGGAGTGCATTTGGTATCACTGTGAGAGGAGCCGGCGCTATAGAGGAGGCATCGGCTTATGTGGCTTGATTCCTCTAGCGCTGGCTTAGTTGGCACCACTGGTTCTCTCCCGCGGCTCTTCAAGTTTCCCCTTATGCCACCACCGGCCCTGGGAATGGTCACAACTTATTTTCGGGGTAGGTCTTATATTGTAGCAATTCCCAAAAATAATACTAGGTCTTATTTTTGGGGTAGGTCTTATTTTCGGGGAAACAGGGTATCTAGAGATAGATAGATAGATAGATAATATATCTATTGATAGATATATAGAGATATATATTTATCTCCATCCCTCTACCAGTGTTTTATTTGCAGTCTGTGTTTGGGGAGATTTTGCTTCATCTATAAGATGATACATGACATGAGAGGAAACCTCTCTTGTCTGCTGCCCATAACCTATGCAATCTGGTTGTGCAATCTCCTTTCTGCTTGAGCAAAACTATGCAATATAATATGAACATCTCTAAACTAATTCGGGTTGCTGTCAGACAAGCAGACCCTTGCAGGACATAGTTGTTGGCAGATCTTTTTTATATCGCCAACAGCTTGTGCAGCATTTTACAAAGTTGAGGGAGATGGCATAGTTGCAATACAATTTTAATACAGGGGCGTTTGGAGAGCCCTACTCATAAGCGCTTGCAATCCAGTATGTGGGGATCTCTTGTTTTGGTGACAACTTTAAAATTGAGAATCTTCTGTCCTGGGCAAGTGGGAAGAGTCTTTCAGCAGGGAGAGAGACCGCAATAAAAAAACCACCTCTGCTCTATTCATGACTTTAAAAATATGGTGAAGCTAAACCATATTTTATTTACTCATTTTATTTATTTCCTCCAGTGCCTCCTTATCCTTTGCGATAAGCTCAAAGTAACCAACTTTCCTCCAGGTTCACTATAGGGACCGCTTGTGTATCGACACAAAGTGATCTTAATCCACGGTGAAGGAGAAATATTAGCAGCATGCCACGTCTCATAGGCTTGGAATGCTGCTAATTACCCTTCTTTACTCTATCCCATGCAACAAAAAATAGGTCAATGTATATTCTAAACATGTGTCTGCCAATGTGCAATAATAGCATATTAATACTAACGAGAAACATTTTATGGTGCCAAAAATGTCCCGCAATGGAAATTTGTGGGGTGCACCAAATTATCAGCGCTGGTAACCTGAACCATAAGGAATGGACTAGCGGTCTCTGTGTGTGATCGCAGATTTTACCTCTTAAGGTTCCTGAATAATAATAGTTTTGTTGCACAACGTCGGCTTAGTTCCCTTCGGTGGGAGCGGAGATCCCTTGGCTTGGTCTATGTGTGGCGTATTGATGGCTCTAAATACAACACATTGGAAGGGATTACGTCAACCAGCACTCTGGAGATTCCTCTTCAGCTCTTCAATTATGCAGCAGAGGGAAGGAGAGGTCACCGCAGAGGCTTTCCATTACTTACAGACACAACCCGAGTCCGATGTCTGGAGGCTTCAGAGGGGAAATTGCTCCCTACGTGATCAGCGATCGATTGATCTAGAAAGGAGACACTCAAGCTGTAGTTCTGCCGTCTCCTTCCAAGGACCAGGTCACTTTTTAAAGGACTGAAGTTTAATCTGCTTATGTTTTGCCCTCCCTGGTTCCTTCTTTCCCATAATCAACAATTCAATCTTTCCGTTTTTATTACATACCAAATTTCAGACTTGGTGATGTCATCGTTGGATCGCTATGCATTGCCAACAGAGTGCTGTTCATAGCTTCCTGAAAACATCACAGCACCCTTCCTCAGTACTCCACTCAGGAGCCCTGATGCAAGCAGTGGCCTGGCCCTTGGAAGGAGTTGTGCAAATACCAAAATGCCTTAATAGGAGTGTTGGCGTTCTTGTCTAAGGCTACATTTGCATGCTGATTGACCTAGCTAATGGCCACATGTGATGCTGAGACAATAAACTGCCCGCTCTGGTCAGGTATTCTGACAGGTGCCGGCAGCCGCTGTATGTAACCAGCAGGATTCCTCGATCGACGCTCTGTTAGTGTTGATGGAGGAATCGGGTCTATTTTTTCCCGTTCAGCCCGCGGGTTGACCGAAAAAAATAGGTCAGTGTATGGCCAGCTTTAGACTGCAGGAGTGGAGGAGGAGATAGGATGGAGGGAGCCTTGTAACAGCCAGCCATCTCCGAGGATCAGGTTAATATAACTTTATTTTTGCACGTAGACCAAAACGGCACTTACCCCTTGACATGGAGCAGTGACATGCGATGAGGTCAGTGGCAGCTGAAGCACCCCCCGCCGCCCACCCCAACTCCGGACCGGTCACTGAGCTATGTGCGGAGGACGGAGAGAGGAGCCTCCCTGTCCTTCACTTGCTCGTCACTGATGAGGCATCCAGATGGATGCCGTCAGGTCAGTGTTTATTTTTTGATGGGGCGGCTTAGACCCATGGCTCATGTGTGCTGCAGCATGTATGTGTCAGAGCTGAGTTGGGTAAATGCGTTGGGATCCCATCGACGATAAAATTCACCTAAAAGTCAACGCACTTTCCGTGGCATAAATTTGGAAATATATGTGAAGCTACATTGTAGCATCATGGCCCATCTACAAAGACCCATCCCTAACTCTAACTCTACTCCAACATAGTTCCCAAGTGGGACATACAAAGAAATAAATACACTGAGAGTAGATATGTCTTGGAGGTAGCCTCCTCCGCCTTAAAAGTACAGGGACACACGCCAGAAGCCCAACAATGCTCTATGGCAGCTGAAGACCTCCAGTGTGTATCCGCACCAAATCCTACAAAGTAAAAATGGCTCCTACTCTGATCAATTTATAACTTGCTTCTTTAGGTAAGGTATGCACCGGCAGGGCCCTCCACAGGATGAGCAATTCTCCAGCACACAGTGGCATCACAAGGGGGGTGCGGGGGTTGCGGCTGCACCTGGGTGTCACCATTGGAAGGGTGACGCCAAAATGACTGACAGTCATTTTGGTGTCACCCCCTATGAAAAGTCGGGCACAGTCATGGACTGAGAGCCCGACAGTGTCAGGAGAGAGGAGGGGACCTGGCGCCATACCACATCCCGCCGGGTGAACGTCCCCTCTACTCTGCCGGCATCCATCATCAAGATGGTGGCACGCGGCCTCGAGGCGCCCCTGCCAGCAAATTAATGCATGAACTGTTTTAAAAAATCTTATTCAAGAAAATGTTTTTGCTGCATATATTTTAAATTATGTAGGAAGCCTCACAGCGTTCCCAGCTTGGGACATGCTCCTTCCATAGAATGGGGTAAACCCCACTGAGAGGGAGAAGGGCTCTGGGATTATCCCTATGGCTTGTGTTTGCATGCAGTAATGGTGCATCACTATTAAAAATACAAGACTATAACTGAAATATTAAATATAAGTTCATATACACCTCTAATGTGCCAACGTGAAACCATGTAAAGACATATACAATAAAATACAAGGATTACATTTCCAATAAAATACTATTTTTATTAAGCTGAAATTTGGTTCACTGCCTTTTGTTGGGAGTGCTTGGAGTTGGCAAGAGAGAGATGGTCTCTTCTTAGTCTTCTGGTGTTTAGATTGTTGATGGGAGTTCGGAATGATCCTGGTGCCGGTCCAACACACACCTAAAAAAAAATAAAAATAAATCCCAAACTCTCCTTATAGCCGGTCCAACACACGCCTATTGCCAGAAAAAGGTCCATTGAACTTAATGGCACTCCTGTTGGTGAAGAGAGTTGGTAGTATTGCTCTTGGAGATGGGAGCTGATGATATTGCTCTGTAGGGAAGAAGAGTCCCTAAGAAGAGCAATGCATTAGAGGACGTTCCATGTTAAATTCATATCTGAGGCAGCAAGTGCAACAGATCTTTTTCTTCTTTTCTTAGAATTGCAGCAACAGATACTGTGAACAGTGCATGTTACCCTTAACACACGTGGCAGCTACCGCGTGCGAGTGTTAGGGGTGAACTGCTTGGTTAATCATCTCCATGAACACGTCTTCTTGTTATGAATTATCACAGTACCGGCCTCCAACCTCCCCTTATAGCCGGAGTGAGCAGAGCCCAGAATGGTTGCTGTCACTGAGTATTCTGAGATTTGCAGACCCACTGCTGTCAGAATACAAAACACAAAGCAGGAAATTCCTCCATCCACTCTGATATTTTCTGTTTGTTTAGCCTGCAGGATAAAGGAAAAAATATAACCGTGCACTGCCAACTTAATTTGTTTTGTTTATTTTAATAAGTGTGTGTGTATATGTGTGTAAAAAAAAAAAATTTAAAATAAAATATATATTTGTGTGTTTTATTATTGATTTGTATTTTACTGCACACCTTTCCTATAAACCCCTTCCACTTTGATGCGCAGTTCAGCCACAGCTATTATATTTTATGTTAAAGCAATGGTAGTATTGTCACAAATGACAACAGAGAGATGTTGCTAGGAAGCCCCATTGAATCTATGGGACCACATGATCTGTTATGTCCCTGCTCCCTGCCCTTCCCAACATTCAGCTCTGCACTCCCCTTCAGTGAGGTGTCTGCCTGCCTTACATCAGAGTCCCCCTTAACAGAGTCTGAAGGGGGACTCAGATAAGCCCTAATTCCTGCACCTTCACCCCCTCAGATCAGCCCCAATTCCTGCACCTTCACCCCCTCAGACCAGCCCTAATTCCTGCACCTTCACCCCCTCAGACCAGCCCCAATTCCTGCACCTTCACCCCCCTCAGATCAGCCCCAATTCCTGCACCTTCACCCCCTCGGATCAGCCCCAATTCCTGCACCTTCACCCCCATCAGATCAGCCCCAATTCCTGCACCTTCACCCCCTCGGACCAGCCCCAATTCCTGCACCTTCACCCCCATCAGATCTCATTCCTGCACCTTCAGGGTGACGACATTCACTCACTACTGTATCAGGACAGCAGAAACATGACAGGGCTACAGAAACCTCCCTCTCTTTCTTTTCTCCATAACATGGTGTAGGTGAGGCATTCTGTAGTCCTCAGAGATGACTGGGAACAATGTAAGCGTGCAGCATAGAGAGGGAGCACAGGAAGGTCTCATCTGATAAGTCTTGTTGCTGGATCAGCAGGTATATTCTGCACTCATCAAACAGATCGAACAAAACTCTTCCAATGGGATAAATAACAGACCAAAAGGGAGCAAATAAGAGAAGATCATTGTTGAGGATTACATACAGTTAAGCAGAGTTTTTGTTCACGGATTGTACACCACTGAGTGGTTAATAAGGCGATTCGGTCATATGTGACAGTAGTTTTTGGAAATCTTGGCATAGGGAAGGGTTGCTTTAAGAAGCATACTTACACGTCTGTCTGGTGATCGGAGCGCGGCTTTGCCTCCGCTCCCCGGGGCTCAACATCCGGCCTTCTCCAGAGGAGCATTTGGTAGCACAGCGATTGGCAAACCCTTTCCATGCTCGGATTTATCAGAACAGACGTGTGGAAGCCAGAGGCCTGCCAGGACCTGGGCCGGCTTCTCCAGCCCTGATGAACAGAATGACCTTTACTTTGTCATGCAGATATTCCTAAAAAATCTATCTTTTAATCAAGGAGAACACGGGAAGAGAATTGCGCAATACATTCATCTTAAAGTAGTTTTAAAATCTATTTATTTTTAAAGTAAATTTTTACGTGTTTTTTTATTTTTATTTTTTAGTCTCATCTAGCAGCTAAACATTAAAGGAGAGCTATGAGGTGAGTGCTTTTCACTCACCTCATAGTTCTAGCCGACCTGTGACAATGAGACTGTCACAGGTCGGCTCAGTAGATCGGGAGGGGAGCGAACACATACCGGCGTTCGCTCACCTCTCGATCCTGTCACAGCTCTCTGCCGTGACAGGGGAGGTGCTGGATTCCCCCCTCCCCGCTCCGATCCTCCAGCGCTGACTGGTGGAACGTACGGGGGAGGGGGCGGGTACAGCTGGCTCTGCCTCTAGATAGGCAGAGCCAGTTGTCACTCACGCAGCTGGGCGGATCTCAATATTGATGTCGGGATCCGCTCCGGCTGCGGCGTCTCAGTATACCGCGAGCTGTATACTGAGCTTAGGGTAACGGGAGGATGCTAGTTTGTGTCCTCCCGTTACCCTAAGGAGAACTATGGGGAAAAGCCTTAACACCATAGTTCTCCTTTTAACCCAGTACATTATTCAGTTAACCACTTGCTGACCGGAGTGTTAATCCCGCTTCCTGTCCAGTCCATTTTTCAGTATTCAGCACTGAGGTACTTTCTGACATTTATTCCGTCATGCAGCGCTGTACTGAAATGAATTTTATACCCTTATTTGGGGACAGGTAGAGCTTTCTTTTGGTGGTATTTAATCACCACTGGGGGTACTGTATTTGCTGACGTTTAAGACTACTTTTTATACTTAAAGACATCCCCCTAAAATCTGGGGTCGTCTTATACGCGGGGTATATGATGTGGACCTTTAGTTCGTTTGTGCCAAGCTGGCCCAAAACGAATGTCCCTAATCTGTCAGCCCGCTGGATGTGCGGTAATACTGTATGTACGGTAGCTTTGGCTACATACAGTATACCGCGCTGAGCCAATCACGGCGAGCAATGTAAACAACCTCTGCCAATCCAAGCAAGCTTTGTATTCATTAATAGAATAATTCGCTCGCCGTGATTGGCTCAGCGCGGTATACTGTATGTAGCCGCAGCTACCGTACATACAGCATTACCGCACATCCATCCATTATGTTTTTAAATGGTGTTGCCTCGGAAGTGGGGTAGTCTTATATGATGAGTATAGCCCAAAACCTATGTTTTAAGTGGAAAATTAGGGGATCGTCTTATACACCCAGTCGCCTTACACATCAGTTAAATAGACACCAAACACGTCAAGTCTTAAAACTGCGCATGCGCGCGAAATCGCAAAAAACTACCATACCCAAAATTGGCCATTGGCAACGCTTTAAAAGCTTTTACCGCTCATCAATTTAGTGTTATCAGTGATTGACGGCACGAGAATTATGGCTCACACTCCAACGTGCGCGGTGATATGTAACATGTGCGGAGTGATGGGTGCAATCGTCATTTTGCGCACGCACACATGCTATGTAGGGGTGGAGGACTTTATTTTTTTTTACACTTAACTTTATTGTTATCACATAGAGGGTTAAGAAGCCCCCTCTGTGATATCAAATTACAGTGACAGGTCCTTTTTTATGGACCCCCAATGTCGCCTATGGACCCCCAAAGAAGCTGATGGAGCAGAAGTCTGCTTCTCTCCAGCTTCTGTAGCCGGAGAATGACAGCCGAGTGCAGAAATGATGTTTATTACAACACCGGAGGGGAGATCAGAGGGAGATTGTGTACTGATCTCCCTCCGATCGTCCTGCAGAAAGACACAGTGCCAGTCCCGGAAGCACAGGGAGCCCACGCTCCCGAAGGCACAATATACAAGCGATCAGGCGCCTATACAGACGCCGGCCTGCTTGTATGTAAACAGCCATTGTTGGCTGTTTCAAATCTTAACAGTTTCCCGCTTGTGCGCACCAGGCATGGCGGGCACAAAGGACGTTTTAAGACGCCCTACAGCATCTACAAGGCTCCCGTCCAGCCGTTTTGCTACATTCGGCGGCTGGGAGGTGGTTAATATATGTCTCCAAACATTTACATTTTCTAAACCGCACTGCTGCCGGCTCCATTCTGCTCAACCTCTTCCCCGAGTGGGAGAGCGCGCACTGTGTTCCAAGACAGAAGGGACTGTGTTGTCTTCATCAGCTTAGAGGAGGAGGGGTCAGGGAGTGACTTGCTTCAGTGCTGTGTGTTTGAGTTGACACACATAACGTCGGCTCCAGTCCCGGCTGGGCATGCACACAAGGGTGGCTACACAGGACTTGGTAAGGTAGAGGAACAACCCTGAATCTTGCATGTGGGCCATGCACTGAGGGGGGGCAAGATGATTGGAGGGAGGGGACCGGCCTGTACAACTGTGCAAGGTTGAAGGGAAGGTCGGAGCTCTGCTTTAAATATGAATGTGATGTTTTTCATTGATCAATACGACATCACAGATCTAGAAATGGAGCATTCCGGTCTCACCAGAACTTCTTCTTCTTCTTCCCATAGGTCCAGGCTCAGGTCCGTCACACCAAAGCTACTTTTGATAGACTGAAAACAGATGTGTGTGAGAAGGTGGACCTCCTACGTGCCAGCAGATGTAACCTGTTATCTCATGTCCTGACTACATACCAGGTACCGTCCTTCTTTTACCTGCAATCTATGGACTCTTGTGTCCACCTATAGAGTCCATGGCTAGGGTGGGGGATGGGTTAGAACGTCCATCAGGTTTAGGTTAAAGTCATATTCTATCCAAAACTTCAGATTTTAGCGTGTGTGTGTGTGCGCAAAAATAAAAAAATTGCTCTGGTACTAAAGGTGGTTCAAGAGGAACTAACGTCCACAAACCCCTCCGCTCCAGAAATGTGACGTCTGCGAGTCTTCTCGCCTGTGCTGACATCTGCTGGGTGCCGGTGTTCTATCAAAGATTGTGACTGCGTTAGAATGTGCGACCAGTCACGTGGTCACACATTTTAACGTAATCACCCCCACTTTTTCGGCGGTGGAATATGTGACCGGCAAAAAGTGAAGAATTCCAACGCTTTCTCAGCTGTTCCGGGGCAGATCGGCATTGCAGATGGTATGTGCAGGAGAACCGATCTATCCTGGAACAGCTGATCGGTCCTGAAATGTCGCTTCTATCCGACTTTGTGGAATGTAAGATCGCAGTCACAAAGACGGATAGAAGTGACATTTCAGGACCGATCAGCTGTTCCAGGATAGATCGGTTCTCCTGCACATACCATCTGCGATGCCGATCTGCCCTGGAACATCTGAGAAAGCGTTGGAGTTCTTCACCTTTTGCCGGTCACATATTCCACCGCTGAAAAAGTGGGCGGTTATTACGTTAAAATGTGTGACCACGTGACCGGTCACACATTCTAATGCAGTCACAAACTTTGATAGACCACCGGGTCTTCCGCCACCTTGATTTGGCTGGCACAGAATGAGTTGACTCCCGCACATGAGCACCGCAGCCACTGTATCCCGACACCCAGCAGATGCCAGAATCGTACAGTGCGCATGCGCAGGTCAGTGTAAAGATTGGGAGGAGGAAGGGAAGAATCCATTCATGTAGAAGAGATATTCTGTATGTTCTGTAATAAACAAACAAAATGTTTTTGCTCACAATTTTTTGTTTTAAGGTCGCAGTTCTGCTCTAATGATCCACTTCATTTTCTTTTGGCTTTTTTTTTTTTTTTTGGACCACTTTGCTTCATTTTTGGGAGAAAACGTCTCACACAATGGCAGCAATTCATGAAAGCTTCAAGGGGTATCAGCCATACCAATTCACCACACTAAAGGTAAGAAAGGAATTCTCTTAGGATGCTGAATCCCTCGCGCTACTTCATATATACGCTCGCGCTACTTTATATACCTTCATATATACGCTCGCGCTACTTCATATACCTTCATATATACGCTCGCGCTACTTCATATACCTTCATATATACGCTCGCGCTACTTCATATGCCTTCCCAACAGTTGCTCCCCACGTCAAAAACAGATATCATGTACGTTTTGATAGCAGCAAAAACCCAGATCCCTCAAATGTGGTTGGATTCGGAACCTCCGAGCTACACGGAAGTAGTTTGCAGGGTGAATCTTCACTGCTCATACGAACAAATGTTTGCTATAAGAAACAACAGGTATCACAAATTCTGTGCGGCTTGGAAATGTTGGTTGTTGCGCCCTCTATGTAAAATTTGATCATATGGTGGTCCTGATATTATGGATGGTCTTATATTCGAAGGTTTCACACCTTTTCCAAGTTTTCTTCCTCTATTCCTCTATATTCCTCTATTCTTCCTTCTATCTAATCTCTGTACCTCTTCTTTATTTCTAACTAACCTTAAAGGAGAACTATGAGGTGAGTGCTGTTCACTCATCCTCATAGTTCTAGCTGACCTGTGACAATGAGACTGTCACAGGTCGGCTCAGTAGATCGGGAAGTGAGCGAACACATACCGGCGTTCGCTCACTTCTCGATCCTGTCACGACAGAGAGCCGTGACAGGGGAGGCACTGGATTCCCCGCTCTGATGCTCCAGCGCTGACTGGCGGAACAGACGGGGCGGGTACAACTGGCTCTGCCTCTAGATAGGCAGAGCCAGCTGTCACTCACGCAGCTGGGCGGATCCAGACATAATTGTCGGGATCCGTTTCAGCGTCTCAGTATACCGCTAGCTGTAGCTCGCGGTATCTGTGGAGGTGACAGACAAGAAATGTTGGTGGGGATGATCAAATCTGGAGCAGACAGAATCTGGAGCAGTTGTCCATGACAACCAATCAGCGTCTTATCTTTAATTGTCAAAGTTTAAAGCAAGAGTACTGTCGCTTAACTGGGTGACATCGCTGCTCCCTCGAAGTTCCATCAGGGGATACTCTGTGCCGGCAGAGGAAGGTGCAATCAAGGACTGCTATGGAGGGGATTATAAAGTAGTTGCGGCAGTGGTGTACAAAAAGCCATATTAGCCCATGCAGCTGCTATGGGGCCTGGGGATGGAAGGGGGTCCCATTAAGGATTGCCGAAGTTGCTGTTGACACTGGAAATGTCACAGGGGGTACAAGGTCAATCAAGAAAAGCTGACATCAGATGTACAGCGGAGACAATACAGACGGCTCTCCTGGTACCTGACTTTAGACTTATTGACAGTAGGAAGTTCAACAAGGGGCCACATCAAAATTTTTGCAATGGGGCCCCATGATCTACAGTTGCGCCCATGAGTTGCAGAGTGGGCTTTATAAAGACATTATAACCGGTAACAAAGTCTCCTTAAAGCCTAACTCCAGACTTATTTTTGGATACGGCAGGAAGGCGTCCACATCTTTTACCCCATTGGGAAACTTCTCGCTCCCTTCTGTCCCTGTGATCTCCATGCAAGAAAGTGGGGAGTACAGTTGTCACTGGGACAGGAAGACACAGGCAGCAACTAACACACTGTCAGATGTTCTAACTAGAGATGCACTGATACCGATACTAGTATCCGTATTGGTGCCGATACTGAGTATTTCGGCAAGTACTCTTACTCGCCCAAATGCTCCAATACTTACCTCTGATACCGGAACTTTATGGTCAGAGGGAGATCTCCCACTGACTGGCAGTGCCAAGGGAGCATGGAGCTGGCTTCCTTTCCAATCAGGAAGCCGGGCGGTGGGTTATGTCCCTGCTTCCTGATTGGTTAGGAAGCCAGCTTCACGTTTTGCTAAGCAGCCTGGCTTTCTAACCAATCAGGAAGCCGGAGGGCCCCTCATGACTCACTGCCCGGCTTCCTGATTGGTCAGGAAGCCAGGCTGCCTAGGAACAAGTGAAGCCGGATCCCTAGCCAATCGTGAAGCCGGGAGGTGGGTCATGACGTGCCCCACGGCTTCCTGATTGGTTAGGAAGCCGGCTTCATGAGTTGCTAAGCAGCTTGGCTTCCTGACCAATCAGGAAGCCAAACGGCACCTCCCTGACTCGCTGCCCGGGCTTCCTGATTGGTCAGGAAGCCATGCAGCCTCTGAAGCCGGTGTTCTTTTGCTAGAACTCCAGCTTCACAGGCAATCGGGAAGCCTGGCAACGGGTCATGGTCTACCGCCCGACTTCCTGATAATCGGGGCACAATGCTGAGTACCGAAAAAAGGAATATCGGTACTCCATACCGGAAAAAAACGGTATCGGTGCCTCCCTAGTTCTAACCTTTCTCCAGTCTACTACAAATCCTGACAAAGGCTCCCACCCTCCCCAATTCTATCCCAAACAAAGAAAATCTCCAACTTCTGGTTGCAGATGAGCTTCAAAGTAAATCTGAGAATCTGTTGGCTGCCATGTGTTTAGGGTCAGTGCTTCAGAAAGCATTACATCTGGTGATCCTGGAACACAGCCGCTGGTGATGCCGGAACACCAGCAATGCCAGTACTAAGAAGCTCCTCCCAGTCACCTGTCAGATTCAGGAACAAATGAGGCGCTGGATTCAAATGATCAGATGATTCATCAGATCCTGATGAGGCCCATTGGCTCCGGTCCCTCAAACAAGGGGCCCAGATTCACATGAATGAAGTCTAATGAAAGACTTTGTCCAAACCCAATACTGTCACATATGGAGGGGAGTAGATCATTAACCCTATGTAAGCTCTGACACAGAACAAAATGGCGCTCACACAGGGTTTGGACCCATAATTGGGGAGTGCAGCTAAGCTGAGTGTAAATGAATCCATAGTGGGCTTTTGAAGAGAACCTGTCCCTGCGGGCAAAGTGATAGGTTCCCTTTTAAAATCTGGTTGAACTCAATGGCCTTATGTCGTTTTACTTTGATTTTATTTGTTTTATTAGCCTGCTCAGCTATGCAGTCATACAAAATCTTCTCTTCCAGAGTTTACAGGATCCCTATAATAAGCTAAGTCACCAAAGTAAGAAAAAGTCGAAAGGCGAGGAAAACCCTTCCGATAACCCGGATGACACTCAGTAAGTAGCTGAATATTGAAGACATAACAAAGAAAAAAAAAGTTGTATGAGGCACTCGGAGATCAGTATCTTCCACTAGAAGAGTTCCTCACCAACATCAAACACACTGGATCTATAGAATGATACAATAAATGTTATAGACACATGTACTGGTGCCTGACTGCTAACTGGGGGTATGATGATGGCCAGGACTAAAGAGGAAAAGGAATTGGGGGCACTTATTTCAGATGATTGCATTGGGCAAAGCGCATATAATTCTGCATCACTATGGGATCTCCAGCAGGAGGAAGGAGGTCCTGATTCCTCTATATAGATCTTTAGTTATCACTAGATGGATCCCCAGCAGGAGGAAGGAGGTCCTGATTCCTCTATATAGATCTTTAGTTATCACTAGATGGATCCCCAGCAGCAGGGAGGAGGTCCTGATTCCTCTATATAGATCTTTATTATCACTAGAGGGATCACCAGCAGGAGGAAGGAGGTCCTGATTCCTCTATATAGATCTTTATTATCACTAGAGGGGTCACCAGCAGGAGGAAGGAGGTCCTGATTCCTCTATATAGATCTTTAGCTATCACTAGAGGGGTCCCCAGCAGGAGGAAGGAGGTCCTGATCCCTCTATATAGAATGGCTGTGCATGAGAAACATCATAACTCCAGGCCTATGTGTATGAGAAGAGGGAATTGTTTATAGTGTCATAGAAAATAAATCTCTCCTCTCTCTCATCTTTTGTACAGACTCATCTCACTGGATGACCAGCAGCAGGCCAATGAGGATCACGATTCTTTAGCCATGTCTGCAGGTAAATTAACACTCCTGTTCAATGGACCCATTCATTGTACCTGAGAAGTGTTGAGCCCATTTTAGGTAGTACCCCAATCCCAAACAAACCATAGTTGGACTTTGTAGGTACCACAGATATCATCAGAACATGTATCTGAATTCATTGATCTTTAAATCATATTCATCCATATTGTCAACATGGATCCCATCCACCCACAGCAGAACACGGATGAATCGGTAGGTATGTTTGATCCATAAAAGCGCCACTCTAGGTTTATACCGTATATGGTGACCACTGGTGTGAAAGAATCTTCAGGGGTCACTTCTTTCCAATAGACAATTTGGAACCAGGTACAATCTCTAAGTGATCAATGTGTAATCCAGGAGGAAATTATTTTAGGATACCCCCTTCCAAACCTCAGTCTCAGTACGCTACAGCGGTCACTTTAGGGTTACTAATGCACCACCCCCCATCCTGGGGAGCCTCCCTTTGCATATACTGGTACCAAAAGTACTCTCCAGATTGTAACTGGAAACCTTGAAACTCACAGCTTCTCCACCATAGACCCCTAAACCTATGATTGCCATAGACCCCTAAACCTATGATGATAAACCTATGATGGCCACAGCCTCTCCACCATAGACCCCTAAACCTATGATGATAAACCTATGATGGCCACAGCCTCTCCACCATAGACCCCTAAACCTATGATGATAAACCTATGATTGCCACAGCCTCTCCACCATAGACCCCTAAACCTGTGATGTCACTGGTTGCCAGGACCTGGGCAGGACACCGGCCAGAGTGTCCCAGTTTGCTAAGAGCTGGGCGGGGAGATAGGCCTCCCCACCTGGCCCTTGGCAACCTGGGGCGGCAGGCAAACTGCAAACATTTGTGCAGCAGAGCAGCCAGTATACGACAAACATGCCACTCTGCCTGCTGGCCCTCCACGTGACCCAAAGAGATGCGACCTAAGGCAACAGCCTCAGGTTGCCTCATTAAAGGGTGAGCCCTATGTGTCTGTGCCTCCCCCGGCCACCCGTATAGCTATACAATGCGGAGAAGTGGCCACTCATATAATGCTCAAAGCTGTTACCAGTTTAGTTCCAAGGGAGGGACTCTGTTGCACGCAGTTATGCATTGACACTTTTGCATTGCAGTAATGTGCGGCAATGCACATTGCATGCATTGGGGTGCCATTCAAAACACACCTGCGTAGCAGCATGCCGCAACATACGGTGATGCGTTGTGGTTTGTTGCGTTGATAAAAATGGTGCACGTCTGATGTTCGTCACTTCATTGTGCGCCGGCAGCCAATTGATTTCAACGGTCTGCCCCAGCGCAGCGCACGTGTCAACATGGCAACGGATCAGAAAAATGTCAATGGGCTCTAAATCTGGAACATTCCTATGATGGAAAGTTCAGATCCCCGGCTTCAGTCTCATCGGCACGTTTTGTCTTCCGTTACCGGTCACCATTTTCATTCTTTCTATTTTTGCATGTTGTTTCCCTCCATCTGTCAGACGAGTGATCTCCGCCAAGAACACACGCCTGCATATGATAGTAATAGAGGGGATGAGGAGTATTTGTATGTTCTATGTCCTCTTATGCCATCGCTTTGTATTTATTGATCATGTGCTCTGTCATCTTCTAGGCACCCTGGATGACTTGTTAGACCTGAATGCAGAAGAGAGATTTCTATTTGAAGACAGTGGTGAGTTTTAGGAAGGGGGATTGTGTGCTGTGTATGGTGTCAGATCACCGAAGTGTGTGCTTGGGTTACAGTTATTATAATGAAGGCAGGACTCCAGAGCAGCAACCCGAGAAGCTTACACTTTATTCATATAGCGCTAATAATGTCTGATACTGTAAAATCACATCAGACCCCGCCCCCAAGGAGCTTACAATCTAAGATACCCATCTCGCATGCATATACTACGGCCACTTTAGAAAGGAGCCAAGTAACCTACCAGCATGTCTTTTGAAAGGGGAGGAACCAGAGTACACAGAGGAAACTCACGCATGTGAACATGCAAACAACTCCATGCAGTCCTGGCGGTGATTCGAGCTGAAGATTCTAATGCACCACCCCCCATCCTGGGGAGCCTCCCTTTGCATATACTGGTACCAAAAGTACTCTCCAGATTGTAACTGGAAACCTTGAAACTCACAGCTTCTCCACCATAGACCCCTAAACCTATGATTGCCATAGACCCCTAAACCTATGATGATAAACCTATGATGGCCACAGCCTCTCCACCATAGACCCCTAAACCTATGATGATAAACCTATGATGGACACAGCCTCTCCACCATAGACCCCTAAACCTATGATGATAAACCTATGATTGCCACAGCCTCTCCACCATAGACCCCTAAACCTATGATGATAAACCTATGATTGCCACAGCCTCTCCACCATAGACCCCTAAACCTGTGATGTCACTGGTTGCCAGGACCTGGGCAGGACACCGGCCAGAGTGTCCCAGTTTGCTAAGAGCTGGGCGGGGAGATAGGCCTCCCCACCTGGCCCTTGGCAACCTGGGGCGGCAGGCAAACTGCAAACATTTGTGCAGCAGAGCAGCCAGTATACGACAAACATGCCACTCTGCCTGCTGGCCCTCCACGTGACCCAAAGAGATGCGACCTAAGGCAACAGCCTCAGGTTGCCTCATTAAAGGGTGAGCCCTATGTGTCTGTGCCTCCCCCGGCCACCCGTATAGCTATACAATGCGGAGAAGTGGCCACTCATATAATGCTCAAAGCTGTTACCAGTTTAGTTCCAAGGGAGGGACTCTGTTGCACGCAGTTATGCATTGACACTTTTGCATTGCAGTAATGTGCGGCAATGCACATTGCATGCATTGGGGTGCCATTCAAAACACACCTGCGTAGCAGCATGCCGCAACATACGGTGATGCGTTGTGGTTTGTTGCGTTGATAAAAATGGTGCACGTCTGATGTTCGTCACTTCATTGTGCGCCGGCAGCCAATTGATTTCAACGGTCTGCCCCAGCGCAGCGCACGTGTCAACATGGCAACGGATCAGAAAAATGTCAATGGGCTCTAAATCTGGAACATTCCTATGATGGAAAGTTCAGATCCCCGGCTTCAGTCTCATCGGCACGTTTTGTCTTCCGTTACCGGTCACCATTTTCATTCTTTCTATTTTTGCATGTTGTTTCCCTCCATCTGTCAGACGAGTGATCTCCGCCAAGAACACACGCCTGCATATGATAGTAATAGAGGGGATGAGGAGTATTTGTATGTTCTATGTCCTCTTATGCCATCGCTTTGTATTTATTGATCATGTGCTCTGTCATCTTCTAGGCACCCTGGATGACTTGTTAGACCTGAATGCAGAAGAGAGATTTCTATTTGAAGACAGTGGTGAGTTTTAGGAAGGGGGATTGTGTGCTGTGTATGGTGTCAGATCACCGAAGTGTGTGCTTGGGTTACAGTTATTATAATGAAGGCAGGACTCCAGAGCAGCAACCCGAGAAGCTTACACTTTATTCATATAGCGCTAATAATGTCTGATACTGTAAAATCACATCAGACCCCGCCCCCAAGGAGCTTACAATCTAAGATACCCATCTCGCATGCATATACTACGGCCACTTTAGAAAGGAGCCAAGTAACCTACCAGCATGTCTTTTGAAAGGGGAGGAACCAGAGTACACAGAGGAAACTCACGCATGTGAACATGCAAACAACTCCATGCAGTCCTGGCGGTGATTCGAGCTGAAGATTCCAATACAGCTAGGCGGATTGCTAACCACTAAGCTTCTGCGCTACCCACTTACCATTGTATAGCTCTCTGAGCTCCCCCAGAAGCCAGGGACATCGGTTATGCTAATGCCAATATGAAATCCTGAAGCTGAGCCCCGCCACCTCCTGCTTCCTACATAGAACTGTGGTGCATAAGGTTGAACTTGATGGACGTGTCTTTTTTAAACTGACTAACTATGTAACTAACTATAACCTCGGTGGGGGGGGA